ATGGGGGCACCGTGGCGCGGCTATATCTCTTCTGCAAGAGATTAAGCGTCAATGGGAGGACGACGGCAATGGCGAGTGGGAGGTCCGCGGCCTGTAGGTTGATCACGCACGGTAGCTAGGCATTCAGCGTCGTCGTGCGAGTCTGCTGGGAGGCGGCCCGTATAGGCGCGCAGTGCGGGGCGCAGGCAAGAGCTAGCTTGGACGTCAGCAGGGCGGGCGGGAGGACTGGGGACGGATGACAGGGCACTGCACGGTAAACGTCCGTCCGAATGAGAGTTGTGCATGTTTGGGAGACAATTCAATGTTGCGCGGTGCTGCACTTAGGTCCTAGGTGTGTTGCTGGCATTTTCGATCGTCGGGGTTATATTCAGCTGGTGCGGCCTTGCCTAGGGGATAGTGGCCCAATTTCGGGGAATCTGCTGATTTGGCGAGCCAGGACATGCCTTTCCAGCATCGCGCGCTGCACGAGCTTGCGAAGTCCCGACTCTGATGGCCAAGGGGTGCAAAGAAGGAAAAATACCATGGCATCATGTGCGCTGTCATCTCTACCATCTCTCCCTAGGTCTTCCTTATCTCTTGCCCCTCTCTGCTTTCGGATGCTGCCTCAAGTTGGATGCTCTGCACTATATTGGTGAAGTAATGGGTTGGCTGAGGCCCCCTCCCGTCGGATCCACTATGCAAGCGTTCATTCTTGTCTGAATTGATCCGTCGAGTCGTCGTTCAGTGTGTCAGTTCTCTTTAACTTATGCACTGCGTTTCGCGGCGTTTCCACCTCGAGGGCGATGGCGACGAAGTCGCTAAGGTTGAACTTGTGTGTAGTAGAGCGTCGAGCCCCAGAAGGATGGGGAAGCCACGAGTTTTTGAAATATCAATTTCGATTCTTGTGTTCTGAATTTGGAACGTTTCCAACGTTTTGCGTGTCCGTGTAGAGACACTGAGCGAACCAGTGAAAAGCAAGGATCCCGTCATATGCGTTCGGGCTGTGGCTTCTCCATCCATCTGCGCGGCGCTCATCATCAGCAGCAGCATCATCGACATCATCATCATCATCATCATCATCAGCAGCAGCATCATCACCGCACTCCATTTGCTCCTCCGTCTCCTCTTCCACCTCCTCCACCTCCTCCTCCTCCCCCCCCTCCTCCGCCTCCTCCTCCCTCTCAGTCCTCGGCGGAGAGGGGTGGGAGGAGGAGTGTTGCTGCTGGTGGTGGGTTGGGGCGGGGTGGGGCGGGGGGGCACGCCGGCGCGCACGGCGCACCGCGCGCGCGCGATTGTCCTTCCCTTCGGAGGGGCACGCGCGCTCCGCCACGACTGCTGTACCTTGAATTCGGGCGCGAGGCCGCGCATCGGCGGCGCTTCCCGTCCCCCCGCAATCGCTGCGGCAGCGCAAGCCTGCCGCAAGCCTGCCGCAGTCCTGCCCCGCCCGCGGAGCAGGCGGGGCTCGTTTCGACTCCTCCGGCTCGATCCGCCTGCGACGTCGATCGGTTCCGATTCCGGTTCGATCCAACTTCGGAAGCCGATGTGGATCTCGGTGTCCCAATGGAGGCCTCATTGGCCGCTCGATCTCCGCCAATTCGACTTCTCCCGACGCGGCTGCCGATTTCCGCCGACCTGGCCAATTTCGACCACCGATCCGACTTATCGATTCGATTCTGGTCTCTCTAGCCCCCCCCCCTCCCGCGCTCCTGACCCGCTTGCCGACCACGCTTCGCCCTCGCAGCGGCGAGTCAGGGTGCAAACTCCAGGAGGTTACATGTTACATCCATAATCGGCGCTAGTATATATATATATATATATATGTGTGTCTGTATATACACATATGTACATACATACGTACATACATGCATGCATACAGACATGAATGCATTCATACACACATAACTACGTACATCCAGACATGCATACATACCGTCATATCATGGCATAGCATAACATGCCATATCATAGCATAACATGGCATAGCATAACATGCCATAACCTAGCATGCATAACATATAACATGCATACATACATGTATACATACAAACATACATACATCCATACATGCATACATGCATACATGTATGCATGAAACCATACATACACGCATGCATGCATACATACATACATACATAGATACGCGCATACATACATACATGCATACATGCATACATACATATGTGTGTGTGGTCGAACTGACCTAACCTGGCAGATCCTGGCTGTTCCGGCTGTATGTTGAATCCGTTCGTCATGAGTATAAGAAGAGTAGAAGATTTGTCGGAGGTCCGCGCGGATCTCTTGGATCTGCGCTGGACCCTCTGGCCCTGCCTCCGCCGCCATCCCTGGCGCGCTCGAGGGGCGGTCCAGCGCCGATGCAAGCAGTCATCGCGGACCTCCGAAAGTCTACGCTTATGCTGTCTCTCGTCCCCTATCGCAGCGGGGAGCGCCGTGAAAGAGTCAGGGGGGAAGGTCAGTCGGAAATTGGAGTGTATACATTACCAGTGGCGGCCTGTGTCTCAGTCCCAGGACTTTTGTGAGGGTCGGGGACGACGTCGGGGTGGTGTGGTGTACACTTGTTTCCCCGTTGTCCCCGGGAAGCAACGAAGAATGTGCACACCAGGATCCCGTAAACACCAGGATCAGCTTTCCTGTGCGAGATTCAGTGCGAGGCCAGACGAAGGCGTCGGCGTATAGAGTTCGACTCCTTAGTTAGTGGGGGATGGCTCAGGGGACGATGCATCGCCTCCGACTCGCCCATCCATCGCCGACAGGGGCCCAGCACCCCACCCCGCCCAGGAGCCTGCGGAGTCGCTATCAGGGGCCTGCCGCCGATCCGTGAGGGGAGAGGAGGAGGAGGGGAGAGTGACGCGGATGGGGAGAAGGTGGCGAGGGGCGAGACCCGTCAGGAGAAGGAGGAGGAGGAGGAGGAGGAGGAGGGGGAAGTGACGGGATCGGGAGGAGGTGGCGATCCATGTCGATGTTTCCCCCCCCCTGTGTAGGCCGCCCCCCCCCCCCCGCGCGCTCCTGAGCCGCTCGCCGCCCGAGGCTGTGCCCTCGCAGCCGGGAGCGCCGTCAGGGGCGCCCAGATCTAAGACGACGTGTCCTTTTCAGCCTGGGCGTGTTGCCTCGGTTTCGGCCTCCAGGGCCCGTTGCCAGGCCCTGGGGCCATAAAACAGTGATACGGGCCAGCCAGCTGCCCCTGGGAAGGTCGGAGGTCGATAGAAGCCCTCACCCTGTGAAGTCGATCAGCGAACTGGCCTTTTCGGTGTCAGGCCCTGGGACCAGAATACATCTCGATACGGGCCATCCAACTGCCCCTGGGAAGGTCGGAGGTTGATAGAACCTATCACCCTGCGAAGTCGATCAGCGAGCTGACCTTCTCGGTTCTCGAGAGGGCGTCGCGGTCGCAGCTCTTGCGGGCGTGCGCCTTGCGGGTCTGGTCCTGGTTTCTTTTTCACTCAAGGGCACGTCTTTTGCCAAAGAGGGCTGTGTCCACCCACAAAGCATGTAACCCTTCCCATGTTTTCGGGCCTCCTTGTCCCTCCCCGGGGAGGAGGAGGAGGAGGAGGAGGAGGAGGAGGAGGAGGAGGAGGAGGAGGGGAGAGTGACGGGGATGGGGAGAAGGTGGCGAGGGGCGAGACCCGTCAGGAGGAGGAGGAGGAGGAGGAGGAGAAGGAGGGGGAAGTGACGGGATCGGGAGGAGGTGGCGAGGGGCGAGACCCGTCAGGAGGAGGAGGAGGAGGACCAGTGGGAACCCAAGAGTCATCAACGATGTTGGAATTAACCCTCCCTCCAAGCTCCCTCTTCATAGGCCCCTACAACGGTTCATTTCCATTGAGGGAACTGCCTCGGTGGAAGACAACAGTTTGAAGATCCTGAAGCGTGCCAAAACATTGTTCTCGGGATTTTATGCCACGTATCAACCTGACTGCTGCGCTTTGACGATCCAGAATCGTGCCAGAACGCCATTTTGGGGACTTCAACACAGCGAATCAACATCACTGCTGCGCCCGCATAAAACGCAATTTCTGGTACGCTCATCATGGGAATCCGTGAAACTCTTGCAAATGTTAAAACGAGTGTACTCGGCGCTAAGGCGAGAGCCACATTTTGAAAAGGAGACGCCCTCAATCCGTGAAACTCTAGCATTAAATAAAAAAACAAAAAACAAAAACAAACAAAACAAAATGTGCGCGGCGCTCAGGCGAGAGCCACATGTTGAAAACCACCCGCCCTCAATCCGTGAAACTTTTGCAATTTGTTAGAACGAATGTGCGCGGCGCTGAGGCGAGAGCCACATTTTGAAAACCACCCGCCCTCAATCCGTGAAACTCTCCCAATTGTTTAAGACGAATGTGCGCGGCGTTAAGGCGAGAGCCACATTTTGAAAACCACCGCCCTCGGTCTGCGAAACTGTTGTCACTTTTGAAGCTTCAGGATCATCAGTGGTGGGGAAGTCTCAGGCGAAACGCCCGGCCCGCCCGAAAACCTGGCCTCGGGGTGCGACAGGGAGGAGTTATTTATGAGGAGAAGGAATGGGGGAGGAGAAGGAATGGAGGAGGAGGAGGAGGAGGAGGAGGAGGAGGAGGAGGAGGAGACGAGCTTCGCCCGAGCCTGGCCTCCCCAACCAGGGGGAGCCCCTCTGGCCGACGAGCTCGTTGCGAGCCCGCGGCTGGCGGCTCCCTCGCGAGCCAGCTGGGAGGCCTGGCCCGGACGCGGCTATAGGACGAGGATGCATCCGCTGCAGAGGGCCCTGGAACGCTCTCAGAGCGGTCGGGAACGCTCTGCGAAGGCCGCGGCGCCCGACACATCCTGCAGGACCGCCGAACCTCAGAGATGCTCGCTTTGCTCTCACCCGATGTGATCCTCGTCCTGGCTTCGTCTTGCCCTCCAAGACCGCCGAGAACCCCGAGATGGTCGCTTTACCCTCGCACGATGTTATCCTCGCCAATGTAGCTTCATCTTACTCGCCCTCCAGGGCCGCCGAATCCCAGAGATGATCGCTTCACCCTCGCCCGATGTTAGTCCTCGCCCTGTAGCTTCGTCTTGCTCGCCCTCGCCGGCGCCGCTGCTCCCCGGGCCTCTCGCGGCCCGCGCCGCGCGCCCTCCTCGCGCCGAGCGCAGGGCGCGCGCCCGGCGGCGTGGCCCCGCCTCCTCTCGGCTGGGTGTTGCCAGAAGTGCCCCTGGCCAAGGGTGCCCCCAGGATTTCCAAGGAGGAGGAGGAGGAGGAGGAGGAGGAGGAGGAGGAGGAGGAGGAGAGGAGGAGGAGGAGGAGGAGGAGGAGGAGGAGGAGGAGGAAGAGGAGGAGGAGGAGGAGGAGGAGGAGGGGGGGTGCACGCGAATCTGGTCCCCCCATGGTCTCCAGAGCACCCCTCGAGGCCCCGAGGGCCCCAGGAACTCCAGAAGGAGCGAAGAGCTGGAGACACCTGGGCCAGGGGCACCTTTGGCAACAGCCCGATCTCTCGTCGAGGGCGACGGCCCGGCGCCTTTTTTCTCCCTGCGCGCCGCCCTCCTCTGGCAGGGGGCCGCCAGGCGGCGAGGAAGCACGCACGGGGGGCCCGTTCACGACGGGCGCGTTTGCGCTTGTTCGCCGGGTGCTGCGAGAAGTGTCCTTGGCCCAGGATGCCCCCCACGCCCTCCAGGGGCACCCCTCACGAGGCCCAGAGGGCCCCATGGCCTCAAGAATGCAACGACAAGCCGGGGGCGCCTTGGGCCGGGGGCACCTCTACTGACCCCCGAGGTCGGGCCCCGGGGCCCTCGCAGATCGATCCGGCTCGAGACGTGGCGCAGAAAAGTGGGGTCTATAGGGTTCCAGCCGTGATTTTTACGAAGTTGCCAGTTTACCTTCGAGAGGGCATAGGCCCAGGAGGCTCTCTTTTCGTATGGCACACCACGTGCCGGGCCTCAGCTTGGGCAGGGCCAGCGAATTTCTTCTGCGACAAAAAAACGAGGTCGTGCAGGGCCGGCGAGTCATACAGTTGAGGTTGTCCCGAGCGAGACGCTGGTGTTTGAAATTCCGATCGAAAACACTTGTTCGTTTGTTGCGGCTGTCTCTTGTGAAACGCTTGTTTTGCAGAATGTGATGAGGATGTCTCGAGCGAAACGCTTGATTTGTGTTATCGGTTGTTCCTCGTCTGGGGGCCAGAATTCAGAGGATCTCTTGGGTGAAATGCTTGTTTTCACGCGCCCAGGTCTTGAGGATGTCTCGAGCGAGACGCTTGGTTTCACGCGTCCAGGTTGCCCAGGCAGATGTCTAGCATGAGGATTGGGGCAGGATGTCTCGAGCGAGACGCTGGTGTTCACGTGTCCAGGTCGCCCAGGCAGATGTCCAGCATGAGGATGTGTTGAAAACGTCTCAAGCGAAACGCTTGGTTTCACGTGTCCAGGTCGCCCATGCGGATGTCTAACATGAAGATGTTGAGGATGTCTCGAGCGAGACGCTTGGTTGCACGTGTCCAGGGTGCCCAGGCAGATGTCTAGCTAGAGGATGTGTTGGGAACGTCTCGAGCGAAAAGCTTGTTTTTACGTGTCCAAGTCGCCCGGGCGGATGTCTAGCATGAGGATGTGTTGAAAACGTCTCAAGCGAAACGCTTGGTTTCACGTATCCAGGTCGCCCATGCGGATGTCTAACATGAAGATGTTGAGGATGTCTCGAGCGAGATGCTTAGTTGCACGTGTCCAGGTCGCCCGGGCGGATGTCTAGCAAGAGAATATGTTGGGAACGTCTCGAACGAAACGCTTGTTTTTTCGTGACCGGGTCGTCCAGGCAGATGTCTAACATGAAGATATGAAGATGTGTTGAGGATGTCTCGAGCGAACCGTTTGTTTTCACGTACCCAGGTCGCCCGGGCGGATGTCTAGCATGAGGATGTGTTGAGGACATATCGAGCGAAGCGCTTGCCCGTCCGTGGGGCGTCCCCTGGCGCGCTGGCGCGTCCACTGGCGCGTCCCTTGCGACGTTCTGGCGTGACGTGCCCTGGCACGTCCCCTATCACGCCACTCGGCGTGGCACGTTCCCTGGCTCGTCCTCTGTCGCGTTTCCTGGCTCGTCCCCAGGCATTTCGCATGCCATTTCCGTGGCGCGCCCCCTGAAACATCTTTCGGCATGACGTCTTCTGGCCGCATCATGGCACGCGCCTTGGCACGTCCCGTGGCAGGTCCCTGACACGTCCAGGGCACGTCCCCTGATACGTCCCCTGACACGCCCCCTGGCGCATCCCCTATTGCGCCCCTGGAACATCCTGTGGCGCGTCCGTGAGCCTGTGCCCCGTGTCGCGTCGTTCCTTTTTGGAGTTGAGTCGGATTTTGAGGTCGAGTTGAGTGAACGTCCCGCACGTTTCCACTTCAACTAGCTCTGGGTCAGCTACTATGTGCCCAGGAAGCTCGAGCTTGAGATCCAGAACAGTTCGGTCAGGACTCGGCTGCAAAGGAGGACTCGATCCACAACGCTATATAGAGCACAATCGCGGCATGGCACATCGCAATTCAGCACGGCGCAGCACAGCACAGCCCTTGGCACGGCACATCAAGATCGATACACTCAGCGTTGCAATTGCCCGTCGCCCAATCAGGTGTCTTGAAAGCGTTGCCACGCCTACAAGTTCCATGTCACTTTCCGGGTTCGTGGGTCGATCATGTTTTCGCAGCGTCGGATCTCAGGGGGCTCGGGAGCCTTGAGACGGGGGTCCGTGCAAACGGTGGCCGGCCAGAGCGCCAGACTTGGCAGGATATCCTGCAGAGCCAGGGGTGCACTGACCGGGGCTGGGGCCGGCGCAGGAGCCTGCAAAGCCTGACTGGCCCAGATTTGCACTGACCCGCATCAGTGCGTCCCCTGGGGGTGGCGCGAGGAAAGCCGGCTTGCTAAGAAGGCGGGGGTCGACTCTGCACGGAAAAGGTGGCCCTTCGCCGGAGGAACCTTTTGGCGCGGGACCACTGGGGCCCCCCAATCGCCGAGCGCGGTGCGGCAGCGGCGTTTGGCGCGCCTGTGCTTGGTCCCCCCGCGGCCCCCAAGGAGCCGCGCACCAAAGGGTTGCTGCTGCGTGCAGCCGGGGCGGGGTGGGGTGGGGGACTTCTCGGGAGGCGGGGGGCTTCTCGGCAGCCATCCCCGCTCCTGAGGTAGGCGCCCTCGTGGGAGCCTCGTTGGGCTCCTCCGGGGAGGCCCCTGCCTTCAGAGGTTCCTGGGCCTTGCTGAGAGGGCCCCGTCCTGAAAGGCCCCCCCCTCGCAGCACTCCCCCCTCGAGCGCGCCGCCAGGACGGGGGGGGGGGGAATACCCGACGTCGCACGATCCACTGTACTGGCCGTGCGTCGAGTATCTGGAGGCGCTGCCGCGCGACCGCCGAGGCGCTGAGAAGCGGGGCGAGGAGTGCGCGCGCAGCGTCGCCGCAGGGGTCTAGCGCTCCATGGTTGGGCCGTCCTCCAGTGCGGTCACAGGGGGGGGGGAGGGGGGGGGTTTGGAGTTCCTCCTCCTCCTCCTCCTTCCTCCTCCTCCTCCTCCTCCTCCTCCTCCTCCTCCTCCTCCTCCTCCTCCCTCCTCCTCCTCCTCCTCCTCCTCCTCCTTATTCCTTATTAGAATATACTCCTACTCCCCCCTCAGGCCGGCAGATAGCGGGCGCATCCGGGTGGTCCCATCCTAACCTGTAAAAAACAATACAAAATCAACATTTTTCTTATTTTTTCCTCTCGACATGGACGTCCTGTCGTCCACGGCGATAATCCATTGCAAAAAATACCACAAAGAGCACACGCGCGCGTTCATGTCAGAATCCTACCGAACACCGTGTGTTTGCAAGCATTTCAACATAAAAACATCAAAAACCAAATGCTTTTTCACAAAAATTGTACAAATTTCCCGCCCGGGCTCTCTTGCTGAAATCATAGGAAAACCATAGGAATCTTAAGAATTCTGTCAAATCCAGCGATTTCACGTCATCGCGCGGTGCACTCGCGATGCTCTGTCATGCACCCAGGCCGCGAATCCTGTGCAAAAAATACAACAAAGAGCACACTCGCGCGTTCATGTCAGAATCCTACCGAACACCGTGTGTTTGCAAGCATTTCAACATAAAAACATCAAAAACCCAATGCTTTTTCACAAAAATGCTTTGGGGTGTCCTGTCAGACCGTCGGGCTTCCTCCGGCCACCTCTGGCTTCCTGCGGTGTACCGGGCCATTCTCGACTCGTCTGGCAATGCGTGCGCGGCATTCAACACGCGCTCGCCAGTTCCCGTCGGCAACCGCCATCGCGGCCGCATCAGCTGTACCAAACCGGCTGGCCGGTGTGACTTCGGCCCCCAGTTGTGCCAGCTTTGCTTCTTATGTTGTGGGAGGGCGGGTGGGACTGGGCATGCCATGCTTGACTCGCTCGAGCTGGCTAGCTTGACTCCTACTCCTACTCCTACTCCTCTCCTCCTCCTCCTCCTCCTCCTCTCCTCCTCCTCCTCCTCCTCCTCCTCCTCCTCCTCCTCCTCCTCCTCCTCCTCCTCCTCCTCCTCCTCCTACCTCACTCCCCAGCCGCCTCCCGGCTGGCAGCCAGCACCCAGGAACAGCGTAGACGAATCGGTTTGCAGGTTGCGCTTGTGGATAATGCAGCTTCCTTGACAGAAAGGAGGTCTTAACCGTAAGCGGTGGGTTCTTAATCGTAAGCGTGGTACCAGACTAAAGTACCGAACTAAAGTACCAGACTAATGTACCATACTAAAGTACTAGACTAAAGTGCCAGACAAAGGTACCAGACTAAAGTACCAGACTAGCCAGACTAAAGTACCAGGCTAAAGTACCAGAATAACCAGACTAGAGTACCAGACTAACCAGATTGATGTACCAGACAACTCAGGCTAAAGTACCAGACTAAAGTACCAGAGTGACCAGACTCATGTATCAGACTACAGTACCAGATTATTCGGACTGAAGTACCAGACTAATGTAGCAGACTAAAGTACCGGACTACAGCACCGTACCAAAGTACTAGACCAAAGTGCCAGACAAAGGTACCAGACTAAAGTACCAGACTAGCCAAACTAAAGTACCAGACTAAAGTACCAGAATAACCCGACTAAAGGACCAGACTAGCCAGATTGATGTATCAGACTAATCAGACTAAAGTACCAGTCTAAAATACCAGAGTGAACAGACTCAAGTACCAGACTAAAGTACCAGACTATTATGACTGACGTACCAGACGAATGTAGCAGACTGAAGTACCAGACTAATGTAGCAGACTAATGGGCCAGGCCAATCAGACTAAAGTGCCAGCCTAGCGGTACCAGACTAAAGAACCAGCCAATTGGCGTTTGACTAATGGCACCAGACGAATGGCACCAGACTAGCGGTACCAGACTAAAGTACCAAACTAGAGCACGAGGCTAACGTTAAAGTACCAGACTAACGTACCAGACTAACGTACCAGACTATTGTACCAGACAAGCGTCCCAGACTAATCAGGCGAATGTACCAGACTAACGTACCAGAGTAATCAGACTAAAGTGCCAGGCTAAAGTACCAGACCAATCCGACTGAAGTACCAGACTAAAAGACCAGACGAATCAGACTACAGTACCAAACTAAAGTACTTTAGTCTGGTACAGTAGTCTGGTGCTTTAGTCTGATTGGTATGGTACTTTAGTCTGGTACGTTAGTCTGGTACTTGAGTCTGGTATGTTAGTCTGGTACCGTGCTTACGGTGAAGAACTACTACTCTCTCCTTGACGCAAACCCATCTTGGCAGTTCTCACTCGTGGAATGCTGATAACCGAAAATGATCAGCCTCCCTCCCCTTCTCTTCGCCTGTCCCTGCCCCCCCTGCTGCTGCTGCTGTTCCTCCTCATCTTCCCCCCATCTTGCCTCCTCCTGGTGGCTAGGAGGCAGCCAGACTGCACTGCAGTCGTGTCTCTGTCGGCAGCAGCTGCCCTTCCCGCTGCGCCCGTGATCAGTTTGACAGATCTTCCTCTCCTGGAACGGTGACCGTCGTTCTGCGCCAAGGATCTCAGAGGAGGAAAAGGTACCCATACTGCTACCCTTCCCTCGTTTCCCCCTATTGGGACCTCCTGGGATGCCCTCGTCGCCACCGCAGGATTCGCCTCGAAATCCTGGTCAGAACGCACCCCGGGAGAGGTCCGGGGAGTACTGAGTAGCGGCATCGGTATGTTTTAGTTTCCCCAGGACACCTTTATGGCGGCCAGTCGGGAATGCGTTGTGCCGATGTAGTGCATTCTTCTGTGTTCATGAGAACTCAAATAAAGTCAACCCGCATAGGAAGGATGCGCGACTTCCCAAGGCTACCCTTGCATCCTTGGCCCTTCGGCCCATATTTGGCAACTTCCGCTGGCCAACCTCGTTCGAAAAACGTTCACGTGGCCCTCCAAGGCCCATGCATCCTCACCGCGCAGCCTTGTGACACGAGCTCACCGTACTCAAGACGACGCTGCGCTGACGCCTCGCAGCCCGGAGGCCCCAAAAGGGGCGGCGCGAGTGTCTCGTTCAGGGAACGATAAGCGGTATTAACAAAAAAACTCAGAGGTCCGCGCGGATTCCCTCCTCCGCCTCCTCCTCCTCCTCCTCCTCCTCCTCCTCCTCCTCCTCCTCCTCCTCCTCCTCCTCTCCTCCTCCTCCTCCTCCTCCTCCTCCTCCTCCTCCTCCTCCTCCTCCTCCTCCTCCTCCCCCTCCTCCTCATGCCCCATCCCCCCGTCCTCCTCCTCCCCCCTCCCTGGCGCTGGACCCCCCTCCATGGCGCGCGGAGCGCGCCGCGGGCTGCGCCGGGGGCGCCGCCAGGGGGCCCAGCGCCGATCCGAAAGATCCGCGCGGACCTCCGAGTTGTTATGTGTTTATGCTCATGATGCTCCCACCTGCTCTAGCCTTGCTCGCCAGGAAGAATTTCGAGCGCCCGAAAAAAGGTACCGAAGCTCAAGGGTTTTCACGTGTCGGGCCCTAGGAGACACTCTCCTGACACTGTTTCGACACTCTTTTGACACTTTTCCGGGTGCTCGAAATTATTTCTGGGATGCGGTCCTTAAGTAGGATGGGAACAACAGAAGTTTATGCCACTTTTCGTTCCCCGACTCGTGCGCATCACGATCTCGGTGATGGCCGCGCGGGAAACACGGGCCCGAAAAAAGCGAAGCAGCCAGCTCTCTCGGCCAGCTCTGCGCGTGCGGCCTCCGTCGTGCCGGCGGCGCGCAGAGGAGTGGGCACCGGCGCGAGAGAGGGAGGGAGGAGGAGGAGGAGGAGGAGGAGGAGGAGGAGGAGGGAGGAGGAGGAGGGGAAAGAGGAGGAGGAGGAGGAGAAGGAAAGAGGAGGAGGAGGAGGAGAGGAGGAGGAGGAGGAGGAGGAGGAGGAGGAGGAGAGGAGGAGGAGGTGGAGGAGGAGGGGGAGGAGGAGGGGGAGGGGGAGGAGGGGTGAGGCAGGAGGAGGAGGGTGAGGAGGAGGAGGAGGAGGAGGAGGAAGAAGAAGGGGAAGAAGAGGAAGAGGAGGAGGAGTAGGAGGAGGAGCGGCAGAGGAAGAGGACGGGTGGGGAAGCGGCGCTGGCAGCTGGCGGCGGCGCGCGAGCGGGCGGCGGGCGCGCGCGGCGCGTCGTCCGCTCTCCGGAGGGGGAACCCGCGGACTCGGGACCCCCCCGGGGGAGGAGGAGGAGGAGGAGAAGGAGAAGGAAGCTAGGAGGAATGCCGGGAGGCCGTAAGGGCGAGAACGCCCGAATCCGTATCCCAGGGAAACCGATAATTTGTGTTTCTTGGGGCTATCTTGGAGAGAACGCGTTTCACGGGCGCTTGCCTTGGGAACATTCCGCGGCGCGTTTCAAACCGGGAGGTGGCCCCCCCCCCAACACTCGGCGCCGTCGATCAAAACCAGGGGGACTCCCCTCCCCCCCAAACCCCCCCCCTCCCGAACCACCCCCCCCCTCCCAAGGGGGCGGGGGTTCAAAACCCCCCACACACACACCCTCCGGCGCCCGGCGACGGCGCCGGCGCTGACGGCCGCCAGCAGCGCCCACGGCGGGGACGCAGCGACGATGACCAGAGGCAGCCCAAAGAAGGGGGGGGGTTCAACCCCCCCCCTCCCAAGGGGGGAGGGGGGGGTTCAAACCCCCCCCCCCCTCGGCGCTGGCGCTGGCAGCGGCCAGCAGCGCCGGCGCTGGCGCCAGCGACGGGGGGACGCAGCGACGATGACCACCGCTACCACCACCACCACCACCACCACCACCACCACCACCACCACCACCGCCTCAACCAACCACCACCACCACCACCAACAGCACCACACAATCACCACCACCACCACCACAGCCACCACCACCACCACAACGACCACCGCAACTCACCATCACCACCACCACCACCACAAAAACCCACCACCACTACCACTACCACCACCACCACCACCACAATCTACCACACCACCACCACCACCACCGCCACAACCACCACCACCACCACCAGTAGCACAACCCACCGCCACCACCACAAACCACCACACCACCACCACAGCCACCGCCACCACCACCACCACCACAACAAACATCCACAAACCACCGCCACCACAACCCACCACCACCACCACCACAAACCACCACCACACCACCACAACCACCACACCACCACAACTCACCATCACCACCACCACCACAAAAGCCCACCACCACTACCACCACCACCACCACCACAATCTACCACACAACCACCACCACCGCCACAACCACCATCACCACCAGTAGCACAACCCACCACCACAAACCACCACACCACCACCACCACCACCGCCACCACCACCATCACAAGCACCACCTCCACAAACCACCGCCACAACCACAACCCACCACCACCACAAACCACCACCACACTACCACCAAACCACCACAGCTACCACCACAACCCACCACCACCACAAACCACAACCAAACCACCACCAAAGCACCACCACCACCACCACCACAAACCACCACCACCACCACCACCCACCGCAACAACCAACACAACCACAACAAACCACCACACCCACCACCACACAACCACCACCACCGCCACCACCACCACCACCAAAACCCACCACCACCACCACCGTCGTCCTCGTCGACGCTTCTCGCCACCGCCGCCCGCCGCCGCAGGCGCCGGCGCTGGCCAAGAAATGGAAATCGTCGTCCCCGCCGCCGTCGCCAGCCGCCGCCGACCCAAGCGCAGTGCCGGCCCGAGGAGAGGGGAAGCAGGGGGGGGGGAAGCAGGGGGGGGGGGGTCGAACCTCTCCCCTCCGTCAGGAGGGGAGGGGGGTGGTTCGACCCCCCCCCCTCCGTCACGGGAGGGGGGGGGGTCCGGTTCCAACCCCCCCCCTTCCAAGCGACCGCAGAACGCGCTCTTTCCTCTCTTCGGAGAGCTCTTGGAGGCTAGTGGGGCGTCTTGGAGGCTTCATGCCCCGCCTGGAGGCCATCTTTGGCGTCTAGGATCAATCGTTCGGCGATTCGGGGCCCTCTTGGGCCGTCTTGGAAGCCTCTTGGGGCACTCTTGCCCGTCTTGGGGCTTCTTTGGCCCGAAGACCGCCCCCCAGGATCCCCCAGAGGGACCCGCCCCCACGGGACCCCCCCTTACCCCCCGACGGAACCCCCCCCAGCCCAGGGGGGGGAGGGATCAAACGGAAAGGGGCTGCCCTTCGAGTCAATTACGATGGCGCTCAAGTTCGGTTTGGTTTCGCTGTTGCTGGCGCACTTGAGGTTTCGGTTCGGTTTCGCTGTGGCTGGCGCGCTGGAGGAGGAGGACCCAATGACTGCGACGACGACGACGAGTCAAATAGAACGACGACGATGACAACCACCACGACGACGACGACGACGATCACGACCACGACGACGACGACGACAATGACGACGACGATGGGTCAGACAGAATAGCGTCTTCCACACCCCGGCAGGGTCGGCGGATTCAGGGGCCGTGCTCTCGCTCCAGTGGCGGCTACATGTTTGGCCCACACGGCCACGATCCCTGGCACAAGCAACATACATTAAGGTGCACGTGGGCGACGCAAAAAAGGGGCTCGTGTTCACCGACATTCACGCGTAAGCTGCTCGCGTAAGGTCGCGCGTAGGCCCCCTCGTCTCCAATGTGGCGTTCCGCGCCTGGGGCCCGCGTAAGGTCGCTACGTGATCTCGCGAGAGACTCGTTTTTGATCGTCGCCCACGCGGCCGTGTTCTCACCCTTGCCCCGGCTGACAAAGCATAAAGAACAGCAACAACCACAAGAGCGATGACAGTCGCAGTAAGCATAACAATACGCTTTAGCAGTAACAAGCAGAGTAGGGATAACAGCAGCAGTGTCACGAATAGTCAGAATCCGAGGAGGACAAGGATGAGGAGGAGGAGGACGAGGATGAGGAGGAGGAGAACAGAGGAGGAGGAGGAGGAGGAGGAGGAGGAGGGGAGGAGGAGGAGGGCGACTACTGGGAGGGCGACGTCATATCTGACGTCCTACCCCTCCCTCCCATCCCTTACCATGGCGTAGATATCCTTTCTGTTCGCGCTGTCGGATGTCGAGCAGGGCAATGATGGCGAGAGGGTGCGCGATGCATCGTAGAGCCCGGCATGGCATGGCGTGGAAGAGCACGGCAGAGCGCAGAATGTCATAGCATGGCGTGGCATTGCGTAGTGAAGCAATGCGTCACCAAGCATTGCAACGCAAACCATGGCATCGCACAGCGGCGCAGAGCAGAACACCGCATAGCCATTCATGGCAAGGCACCGGGTTCCTTAGAGGGTTAGAGGGTTGCCTTCGAAGGGTCGGGGCCGGTTTGAAGTCGCGGCTCCATGTTTAGCTCCCTGGGCTCCGCGACAAGCTCCCCACAGGGCGGGGCTGATGAAGAGCACCCGCTGGCTCTGCTTGCAACATCGCCTTCTGAAAGCAGAAACGGGGCTCCCGCTTGATACTTCCTCCGAACGCGGCCGCCCCGAAGTGTGGGGCCTTCTGCGGCCCAAAAACTCAACGAGTCGACACCGGATGTGTAATCATTTGCGATGCTTTTTTCTAGGGTGGAAGGACCGAAAACGCCCGCGCTGCAGCGGGAGCGCGTTATGGAACAACCAGAAGCAGAAATGGGGCCAGCGCTGCAGCGGGACCAACATTTTGAAGGACCGAAAAGAGTCGGTTTGCCAAAAACACTTCCTGGCCAGCGTTGCAGCGGAAGCACGATTCGGAACGAGCAGAAGCGCGGAATTGAGGCCAGCGCTAGAGCGGGAGCACGAAAGGCCGAAAATGAGGCCAGCGCTTCAGCGGGAGCAACATTTTGAACAAAGAAACGCGAAAACCCAGTTCCCAGGAATCTTGTGTGTGAAAAACAGTACGCGGAGGATGGCCGAATATTTTCCGGACGTCATCAGGGGAGAAAGGAGAGTAGTAGTCGGATTGCGTAATTGTGGAAGAGGAGGAGGAGGAGGAGGAGGAGGAGGAGGAGGAGGAGGAGAAGGAAGGAGCAGGAAGGAGAAGGAGAGTGGCGTTTGTGAACACCCCCCGCGTCCCCTATTCGTCGCCCTCCCCGCCCTCCTCTCCCCTGCAATGGTTGGGGAAGCGCCCGCGCTGCCCCAGTGCCTAGGGTTTTGACGCGCGGGTGGCGCCGCGGCGC